CGTCGACGGACCTGCAGCTGGACGGCGGCGCCGGCGAGTCCTGCTAGTTGATGGCTGCGGCGGATTTGGGTGGGGGAATTTTGCGTGAGAGAGAGAAGAGAGAAGGAAGAAAAGAGGGGAATGAAAAGAATGGGGTCACTGGAGGGTTTTTAAAAAAAACTTTCCGACCGATTCGGTCGGAAATTTGGTCAAAGTAGTCTACCCTCGTTTTACTAAACAATTCCGACCGAATCGGTCGCTACTTATTATTATTTTTTTAATTTTTTAAAATTGTTTTCGACCGAATTGGTCGCTAACAGTGACGCAGAATTTTCCGCCAAAATTTACGACGAATAGACGGGATATTAGTCGTAACTATTATAAAAAATTAAAAAATAAATTTTTATGCATTTTCCGACCGATTCCGTCGGAAATTTCCGACTACTTTTTTCCGTCGGAATATTTCGGTCAGAAATGAGCCATTTTTTAGTAGTGAAAAATACCCTTAAAAATCCGAAAAAATTCCAGCATAATATGCTAAAGTTCGAATTTTTTACATATGAGATTCGAATATAATATGCTGAAATTTCATAATATGCTAGAGTTCCAACATAATATGCTGGAAGTTTATATGTAGGAGCTGCATAATCCAGCATATTATGCTAGAACTTTTCGTGTTTCAGCAAAACAATGGTTATTTTTCAGTTACTTTGCAAATGCTAGCTATTTTTCAATTACCGTGCCTTTTTCACCATGATTTTGTCGGACTTTACTGACTACTAGGCAAAACAATAAAAAAATAAAAAAATAAAAAAATAAAAAAATAAAAAGAAATCTTTTGGGTGTGGAGTTGCTGCGAAATAGGATTGTGGTGGTTAGCATATACTGGCAAACCCCCCTGTTACACTGGCACTGTTTTGTCTATGGTATGGATACCATCAATGATTAATGGCCAGTTAAAAAGGTTAAAAAAAAAAAGGAACTATTTTTCCTGGTTATTTCGTTTAAGAAGGATCTATTCAATTAATTAAGAAAGGGAGAAACAAACGACGTGGTTTAATTTAAATAATCAAGTGTAACATGGAAAAAAGTGGAGATCACGAATAAAAAAAAAAACTCCTTATATAATTATACATTTTCCTCACCATTTTGTAGCTATTAATTGTTACTTGGTTATTAGAAGGAGCCTTAGAGCAATGATAAAGTTGTTTTCGTGTGACTTATAGGCCACATGTCCGACCCGTAGAAGCAGCCATTAATGCTTGCATTAGCGTAGGCTGTCTACATCACACCCCTATGATTGTGTCCCTTCTCCGGACCCTATGTGAATGCGGGATGCTTTGTGCACCAAACTGCCTTAGATTTTTATACTGTAAGAAAGAAAAACATATACACAGATTGATAATTCAGAATTTTTATAAGGGATCTTAACACAAATAACCGGTCGGATTCACTGTTTACTTTTTTTAGCCGGTATATATAGATTATACACTGATTTACACAGTTAATACATATATTATACACATATTATACATGAATTGTACATATATAATTATATATTTACTGACTAATATTAATTTAAATGGTTGAATAAACATCTATTTAGGTTAATTCTTCTTTTTATTATATCATTGAGTTTTACAGCTCACCCTACACTTCAACGAAATGAAAGTGTCAGAGAGTAGTTAATCATTATTCAAAGTTGGTTTGCCAAGCAGTAAAAGAAATAAATTGAATAACATATCTTTTAGTTTGAAAAATTAATTGTGTTTAGTTGAATGAAAAATAAATTACTAAGGGAAGACAAAATTGTAGAATATATGAGTAGAAGAGAACAATAGAGTCGTTATGTCTCGATCCTTTTCTCGTTCTTTCTCAATTATTGCTCTATTAAATATGCATATATTTTTCTTAATTATTCATTTTGAAAAATTGTACAGAGTAATGGCCACATGCCTGAGGTAAAATTCTTCCTTTATGTTTTTCTTTTTCTTTTTTCTTGCCGTATAAATGTATGAAAATGATTTAGTTATTTTAAGTTTATTTCATGCAATTTTGTACGAACTCTGTAAATTAAATTTGAAGAATTGAGAATTACTATACGATATAAAATACAAAAATTTAGAAAAAATATACTAAAAGATAACTAAGATAAAATCTTTTGAAATAATTCAATAAAAGCGAAGACAATATACAAAATTTCCACTAAACATCCAGGATGTCACCTTCAATCAAAGCTTGGAAGGAATCATTTTGAATATAAAAGGAGGTTAATGATTAAAGGAAGATAGATTTGTTTAAATGATTTAATTAATTCAAATTCAGACAGGACTGTCAGAAGTTATTAGATTTTTTATTGCAATAAATTTATTTTAAGGCATATCATTTCAATAATCAATTGCCGACTTCTTTTGCTTCTATACCTAGAGGGAAATAAACAAATTAATTAAAAACCTTAAAGTCAAATTAAAAAAAAAAACATAAATAGTAGATTAAATGACCAGAAAACAGTTTACTTCGAACGCAGTAAACTTGGCAGAAAAGTTTCTCTTTTAAGGATTTTGAGCAGATTATTTTAAAAGGATTGTATATTCGCAGTATACATCGGAAAAAGCAAAACTTTCATAAGTTTCAATATGTTATTATAAATAATAATATTACTAAAACAAAATCTTAATTTTGAAGTCAGAGTCACTTTCCTTAACATAATAATGTCAACGTGCATGCATGGCAAAAAATTCAAAAAGCTTCAATTTAAAGGCTTTTTACATTGACTTGATTCATTTTTTGAATTTTTACCTCCTATAGCAAAGGTTAACACCTTATTTATTTTAAATAAATACCATTTAAAAAAATTATATTCTATAAATACCTTTTAATGTTTATAGCAAAATATCTAATTTTGGTTACGTCCTATCCCTAAGCCACTAAATACGCTATTCAATTACATTATTTTCTTTCTCTCTCTACTTTGATATATGCCATTCTCTTCCCCTATTCCCTGAAGACACGATGCTCAATTTCAAAATTCCTCTCACCCACATCACCTAACATTAGTGTTTCTGTTTTTAACTTTTTGTTTTGGCTCAGTTAGGAGGCAGAGGAATAGGCCGGCCAAGTAAAACTCGGATTATCTTGCACGTTTAAGAGATTAGGGTTTTACAAATGTTGAATCTTTATTATGAATCTTAATAACAATTAACCTGCATGCCTGCGTCCTTTTAGGGACATTGATAAAAGGAATGATACAGAGAAGAAGTGCCTTAAAGAAATACCATTGAATCTCCCTGTATTTCATTTGCTATCAATTAGCAGTGTAATCCCCAAATCGGCTACTTCACAGGATGCGTGGGAACAGTGAGATTCAGGGTTTTTGCTCGACGGCGGATTCGTCGGAAATTAGGGTTTGTTCTTGAACAAAGACGGCGGAGTTTGGGGCTGAGCAACTTGATTTTCTATTAATATATTTCAATGTATTTTCAACGTATCACGCAGTATTTTCATGTATTTCACTGTATTCATTGTTTTTTTTTTCATTGTAATTCAATGTATCTCGCTGTATTCCATGTATTTCATTGTATTCACTGTCTTTTTTTTCATTGTATTTCAATGTATCCCGCTGTATTCTATGTATTTCATTGTATTCACTGTCTCGCTATATGCCATGAATGTATTCATATGTTTTTTTTAATTAATATAACTTATGTATTCAGATGTATTATATAATTTCTCTGAAGATTGCTATGTTTTTGGGGTATTTTTCGGTTGAGAATCTTTTTTATAACTGAAAATACAAAATTTCTGTGTTATAATTGAGTTTGTTGAGTTATATTAGGAGTCTATTATGTTAATTGATTCACTTTCCGTTTAAAAACAGTGTAATCCCCTGTTTCACGCCGTGAATACAGTCGAATACAATAATCTATCCAGCTGTAATCCCATGTTTGACGCCATGATCACAGTCGAATATACTCGAATACAACAACTGATTAGCTGGACTTCCCTGATTCACGCCTATTTTTGCTTCTGTATTCATGAATACAGTAGCTTAAATACATCTAATACATCTTATAACAACAGAAAACGTATCTACAATCCGTAATATAGCAAATGATATCTATAGATAGCTAATTACCACTAAAAGATAGTGCTTTATTAAAATTTCTCTTCATTTTTTGGTGCAGTGATTTTATGAGAATTGAGATAGGATCCAAAAGTGACAAAAAAAAGATCGAATGGTGATTACGCTTTAATTTCAAGTTAAATATTGTGAAAATTCATCAAAACTATCTATGTTTACCTTAATATTTTTAGTTTTTAGATGTATGCATTTAGTTATTTAATACCACTATATTTTACTAAAAAATTCTGGTGCAGTGGTAAAGAGGATTCAAAAATTTCTTTAACTCATAAGTTCAAATTTCAATTATGACATTCTACTTCTTTTTAAATCCCCCTGTATAAATTTCCGGCAGCCAATTTTGAGAACTAGAGTAAACACGTAATATACCTTCAAAAATATTCAGCTCTGCTAGCTCTGTTTGAGAGATTCCTATATGGTACGAAATGACACCAGGTAGCCAATCTAAAGGGCTGTTATTTAAAAATTAGTCAGTGCGTCTTGAATTGTAGTTTTTCAGTTCAAATTTTTGGACAAAATATCCTAAATTGTCCTGAAGTTAAAATTTTTAGTTTAAAATTTCAGGACAAAATAAGTGATGGCTAATCTCTAAATAGCATCCATGAAAATGGCTATATGTGCACTTGCCCCGCATGTGGAAATGACACCACGTTGGGCTTTGCCCATCCTTCACACAACTCAAAATCTAATGACTAGCACCTGATATATATATACTAGTACAGTCAAACCTCTATATAACAACCATTCACTATAAAAATCAAGCTTTTTTCGGAACCGATTTTTATGTTAATTTATAATACATTTTCACTGTAATAGCACTTCACTATAGCATCCAAAAAATATCGGAACAAACAAAGGCTATTATAGAGAGGTTTGACTGTACTCAGAAATATATTGTGATTATTGAATCAACAATTTGCTGAAAGTTAAACTATGAAAAGTATTTTCAATGAAAGCAACAACTAATTGGACAATTTTACTGAATTTGTTAAGCTAAATAAAGAAATAGATACTGATCTTCTAAACTGCTCCTGATTCAGCTCTTCAAACCCTGTAAAAAGAAGTTCCTATGAGTTAATAACTCAAAATGTAGTAATCCCTCCATCTCATTTTATATAAGGGTGTTTGACTAATTAATTGTTTAAATTGATAGAAACTATAGGCTTTCTTCCATTTATCCATGTCTAGCTAACTTGCTTTCGGACATTGCAGTTTAGGTGCCGTACCCGTGTCGACACTACAGAAGTATGAGTGTGGGTATGGAATCTGTATCGGATCTGATCAAACAATTTTGGGTACTTTGACCGCGACGAACGGAAAAATTCGAGAAGATACAATTTGATTCCCGAAATCAGAACCAAAACTAGGGTAAATTTAAAGAAAATACATACCTTATCTAGGAAATTAATTCTCTAGATTCGCACCCATGTCCGAGCAACTTACATCTCTAGTTTATTGCTAAAGTTCATATTTTCAATTGATAGCACTTCTATTTTAAGAACTTTTACCTTTAATACTTAGTAAAAGGCACATCAGACAAATGGAGAATTGATTTAACAGAGTTTTAATCAGACTTTAATTTTACCTGAATCTGAATTGTTATCCTTCTCTCTAGTGAATGAAGAGCTCCAAGCCATAATTCTGATAAATTTTCCCTAGCTGATTCGAAAACAGATTCGTCGCAACGCTCTACCTCAATGGATTTTAGAGAAGAGATGTCCCCGAAACAAGAAGGGATCTCCTTAAGATATCTGCAATTATGCAAAACCAAGCGTACAAGGTTAGGAAAGGCGACAACCCATTCTTTGAAGCAACTTATTTTTTGCAGTTTCAAGACTTTGAGCTGAAGTAATTCGCCATTGCTCACTTCCCATTCCTTATTGTCAAATTTAATGTTTTTCAGTTTGAGTACTTGAAGGTTCTGAAGCAAAGCAATCACTGATAAATTTGCCAACACCTTCACCGTCACCCTGGAATGTGCATCTCAGTTCACCATCACCCTCACCCTGGAATGTTGCTTGTGACAGTAAACCGGGAAGAAGGACTGACTTTTTGATCCCTGCGAATAGTGAAATTAGTACAAACTACTTCTCAAGCGAAATGGCCAAAAAGAAAAAAAGTCTCACTCTTCGGACCTTTAGCTTGACAAAAATAAGAAAAGGACAGTCTGATGCACAAAGCATCCCGTATTCACGCAGGGATTGGGGACGGGCTGCATCCTAAGAAGTATGATGTAGACAGCCTACCCTAATGCAAGCATTAATGGCGGCTTCCACGGCTCGAAACATGGAGACAATTTTACTGTTGGTCCAAGGCTCCCCTTTCCTTTGACAAAAATAAATAATTAACAGAATTAGTGCACCTGTTTAGACAACAAGGGGGTGCTTTTCATTGAACTAGAAAAAGCATACAAAATTTCTTCTCCAAGCTGCATGATCTCGGACCCTACAATTGAAGGGAAAAAAAGAAGATAAATCCTTAGTTAGTCGTTAAAAAAAACTTATAAAGAAGAATATCGTATACAATTAACTCAAATTGACACAATGGCAATCATAAGGAGTTAAGGAAATCAGAATCAAAATCATCTTGTTTTTCACTTTTTTGTCCTATTTAGCCTACTAATAGACGAACTAAAAGATGCTAAATTTAGTTCACTGAACTACAGTACTTGAAATTTACATATAACATACTTCTAATCACTTTCAGGCATTTTAACAAACAGGTCAAGGGCGTCTCGACACTGACTTAGCAAATACACCTGCTTCAAGATGACAAAGAAGACTAGACCAGAAGCATAGTAATTCCACTCGTCAATTACATTAACCAATTAGAATCGAGTATGTGTTACTTGATTCTCAAATCAACCCGATATTCATGAACCAACCAAAAAAACCTTGAGACATGATTAATGTGTAACAGGGCATTCAGAGGAGCAAACAAAGAATTGATTAATTATGCATGTTGAAGGAGCAATATTTTGGCACAGTGACGTAACAGCATTTTGGTGAATTGATGAAAAGCACTAGGGTATTAAAATAGAAACAAATTGGGTCAAATCATACACCTCAAGACAGCTTAAAATACTTGGATAATTTTCTTGATTGCATCAGTATTTTGACTCACAGTTAAACTCAAAATTTTATGAATACAATAACCAATTAATGAACAATTTTACATTATTTTTTCTAGTAACAATGTGAATTACCATTAACAAACAACAATAGTACACCTAAAAGAGCGCCTATGAGCAATAAGCCTCCGACAGAAAACTAGTTACAAGCAGTCAGCAGTATTGATATGTATTCTAAGTACCAAGTAATCTATGCAAAAACAATCTACTTCTATGTGTCTTTTTTGATGATCTAAACAACTCAACTCTTTGTACAATTTTCCTCTTTTATCTGTATAGCTATCTCAGCAGCTTACAGGGTAGGGGTAAGGCTGCGTACATTCTACCTCCCTAGACTCTACTTGTGAGATTACACTGCGTACATCCTACCCTCCCTATGGAACAGTAATCTTCCATAGGCAGCCAACCACATAATGAAATGTGCTTAGGTTGAGCCACTGAGTTCCAAATGAGATCTGCCACATCCAGCCAGGGGCGGATGCATGTGTAATCCGACACCGCTTGGTCGGAAAATTTTATTATATAGGCATATATGCAAAAAATCAAAACGATAATAAAAAATATAAATAATATTTGTGGCATAAAGCAGCATCGTAGTGGTCGGGCTTCACTTTTCTTGCCTGATGTCTGGGGATCGACCTATGCAGTAGACATTAAACTAGAGTTTATAGAGAATTGAACCCTCAATTTCATCATAAAAATTAATCAATTAAACCTGACATTCACATTCTATAAGTGATTAAAAAATATAATCAATAGCCTAAATGGCACTTATACTTGTGCCACTTTGTCATGCCGGTCCCCAAACTTAGCATTTTGCCAATTGAACACTTACACTCGTTCAAATCGTGTATAATAAACGCTTATGACAGGAGGCTGCTGTGAGTGTAATACAATCTCCTACACGTAGGATGCCACGTCATTACTAGTGCCACATAGGAAAATAAACTATTGACTTTATCTTCATTTTTTCCTTACTCCACCATCACTTCTCCTTACCACCAACAACTTCACTGTTATCGCCGGAAAATTCCTCCGGTCACCGGAAACACCATTAAAAATCTTGTAGTGTTCATTCGATTCTAAGAGTCTTGTAGTGTTCTAATGAGCTAACTGTGCTGCTGATGACATATACACGCAAAAAAAACAGGAAAAAAGAAAAAGCAAGATATGTTTACTGTTTTTAGTCTCTTCAAGGGGGGTTGCGGGTTAGGGGGGGGGGGAGGGACGGGAAGGGGAAGAAAGAGAAAAGAAATAGAAATGGGAGATGGGTTTGGGGAAGAACAAAAGGGGGGTGCGAGGTGGGGGGGGGGTAGGGGAGGAACGTGAAGGAAGAAAGAGAAAGATAAATAGAAATAGGAGATGGTGGGAAAGAACGGGAAAGGGGAAGGATAGAAAGAGAAAAAGAAATGGGGAGGGGGTGGGGGTGGGGGAAAGAAGGAAGAAGAAAGAACAGAGATATTTTAAATTTTTTTATATTTTTTTGTCTCTTGCTTTTACCTTTCTTTTTATTTTTTTCTTCTTATTTTAATTATTTTTAGTATAACTTTTTTATGCTTACTCTCGTTATGCGCGTGAAATTCACGTATTGTGTCCAACTCAGTCATGAAGTTGCCACATAGGCTTGGTCAACGGTTAGAGGGGTTTAAAGTAATGTGTTTTGAAACTTACGAGTGTCTAGATGAAACTTCGTAGAGTATCGGGACCGGGATGACAAAGGGGGACAAGTAGAAGTGCCATTTAGGCTATTCTGCCTTTTTAAAAAGATGCGATTTTTCAAATTTTAAACAAGCTTCTTTGCTATTGTCATTCTAAACTTCTCATCTCTTTTGCTATTTATCCCACAGTTTACTCGTTTCCATAAATATCGACACCGCTTACTAAAAGTTCTGCGTACACCCCTGCTTCCAGCTTACTATGTTTCCTATTAGCTTCAAATTGCTGCTGGTGATTGAATATCCTCCACCAGCTGTGATGACGTACCTTGTCTGCACATACCAGCTTTGCATCTGATTCTTGAGGGAGTTAATCTTTCTCCAATATACTGTCCGAGGAACCTTGTGAGTCCATATTGAACTTGTTTAGAGATTAATGAAAGTCACAAATCTGTGACTTGAGTGAAGAAGATAACGCAGCAGATGAAGATAGAAGAAGAGAGAAATAGTGAGAGAGAAGAGTAGAGAGAGGAGATTAATCTTTCATTTATTCAACTTAACTTCAAATGGTAATGTACACCCATATATATATAACACCTAGATAGCTTAGTCTTGAGTAAGCCTAATTAACAAACTAAATATTCTGTTAACAGTGTAATAACCGACTAAACTAACTAACAGGGTGATTTTGCATAACTGCCCTTATGAGCTTGGTATTATATTTCCTTTAACACTCCCCCTCAAGCTAGAGGGCATGAACACATTAAATGTCCCTAGCTTGGAAATCAGATATTGATGTTGAACTTTGCTCAGTCCTTTTGTGAATATATCTGCAGGTTGTTCCTTTGTAGATATGTACTCAGTTTTGACCATGCCTTGTTGAATTTTCTCCCTTATAAAGTGGCAGTCTATTTCTATGTGTTTTGTTCTTTCATGATAGACTGGGTTGGCTGATATTTGAATTGCAGCTTTACTATCACAAAAAATAGTAACTGGTTGATCATTTTTCACATCAATTTCTTTTAGTAACCCCAGTAACCATGTTAATTCAGCAACAGTAGATGCTAGACTCCTGTATTCTGCTTCAGCAGAACTTCTTGAGATTGTAGTCTGTTTCTTAGACTTCTTGGGATTCTCCTAGCTTGATTAAGTAGCCTGTAACTGATTTTCTGGAGTGTGAGCAGGCTGCCCAATCAGCATCACAATATGCTGTGATTGTTTCTATTGCTAGACAGAAGGATACCTTGTCCTGGTTGACTCTTGATGTATTTCACAATTCGTAGTGCAGCTTCCATATGAGATTTTTTTGGCTGTTGTAGATACTGACTTAGAGTTTGAACACTATAGGAGATGTCAGGTCTAGTAACAGTTAAGTATAACAGTTTACCTATGAGTCTTTGGTAGCTGCCTTGGTCTGTTAGCACATCATCTTCTGTTAGTTTGTCTTGACAGAAATGTTCATCAAACTCTCTTGTAGTGAGTTTTATGTTTGTGTCCATAGGTGTGCTGATAGGTTTGGATGCTGCTAGTCTAAGCTCAGATATTAGTTCCAAAGAGTACTTTCTTTGATGCATTAGAATTCCTTGCTTTGACCTTGCAAATTCTATTCCAAGAAAGTACTTTAGTTCCCCTAGATCCTTCATTTTGAAAGTCTGTTGAAGAGCTTCTTTTGTATCTTGTATCAATTTTAGATTGTCTCCAGCTAGAAGCATATCATCTATATATATATTAACACAATAATAGTTCCATTTTCAGTTTTCTTAACAAACAATGAGTGATCATAAGGGGTTTGTTTGAACTGAAACTTCAATAAGGCTTCTGTCAACTTTGAGTTCCACTGCCTTGGTGCTTGTTAAAGTCCTACAAGGATTTTTTGAGTCTGCACACAGGTTTATACTCCCCCTGACTCTTAAATCCTTGTGGAAGATCCATATATATCTCATCATGAAGATCACCTTGCAAGAATGCATTGTAGACATCCATCTGATGCACATGCCATTTTCTAGAGGCTGCAATTGCTAACACAGTTCTAACTGTTACCATTTTAACAACTGGAGAGAAGGTTTCTTGATAATCTATACCTTCTCTTTGACTGTAGCCTTTAGATACAAGTCTAGCTTTGAATCTCTCTATCTCTCCTGTAGCCTTATATTTGATTTTGTATATCCACTTGCATCCTATAGCAATTTTTCCTTCTAGTAAAGATACAACTTCCCAGGTGTTGTTGTTTTCAAGAGCTTCAATCTCTGATTTCATTGCATCTACCCATCTAGGATCTCTAACTGCCTCTGCATAGGAGTTTGGTTCAGTTGTTGTGGAAAATGTAGATAGGTAGGCTTGATACTTTGGTGAGATGTTTTCATAAGAAAGATAGTTTGATATTGGATAGTTCACATCATGATGCACATTTAAGGAAACAAAGTCCTTCATCCATATTGGAGGATGTTTTTCCCTGCCAGATCTTCTAGTAGTGTTGTTTTGTTGATTCTGCTGAATATTTGTTGAAGCAATAGGAAGAATGATTGTTGACTGATCCTGTTGTTGATTTGTAGTGGCAGATTCTGTGACAGCTTGTAGATTGAGTTAGGAATCTCTTCTGCACTTGTATCTATGTAGTCTGCTTCATAGTCTTGAGTGTTTGTAGGTTGAGGAAAACCAACAGGTTGCTGAGTGTAACCCTCGGGTTGTCTATTGTCTAAGATAGGTTGAGATACAAATATAGGAGATGAAGATGTAGTAACATTCCTGAATGGAAATACATCTTCCCTGAAAATAACGTCTCTACTTACAAAGAAGGAATTAGTAGTTAAATCATATAAGACATAACCTTTTTGCACCTCTGAATATCCCATTAATATTGCAGATTTTGCTCTTGGTTTCAGTTTGTCTGATTCTTGTATAATTTTGGCATAGCAAAGGCACCCTATAACTCTTAAATGAATTAGAGAAGGTTTCCTTTTGTATAGTTTTTCAAATGGTGAAACTCCTATAACTGATGAAGGAAGTCTGTTAATTATGTATATAGCAGCTAGAACACAATGACCCCAAATTTTAATAGGTATATTGGCTTGAAATCTGATAGCTCTAGTTACTTCTAGTATGTGTCTATGTTTTCTCTCAGCTACTCCATTTTGCTGAGGAGTATAAGCACAAGTTCTCTGATGAATAATGCCTAATTTCTTAAAGAGATTACTACAAATAGTATTAACAAATTCTGTTCCATTGTCTGTTTCTTATTGTTTTAATAGTTTTATTAAACTGTGTTTGAACAAAATTTAGAAAATACTGAATATAATAACACACACATCAGACTTCAATTTTAACAAATAAATCCATGTCATTCTAGAGTAGTCATCAACTATAGTCAAGAAAAATTTATTTCCATCAAATGTAGGGACCTTATAAGGCCCCCAAATATCCATATGCACTAGTTCAAAGTACTCAGTACTTTTAATACAACTTGCTGGGAAAGGTAATCTGGTTTGTTTTGCACAAGGACATACATTGCACTTATTTAATACTTCTGCTATAGACTCAGTTTTATTTTGAACCATTTTCCTAAGAACAGATAATGACACATGACCAAATCTTTTATGCCATAGATTTATGTCTTCTGCACTAAGCACTTCCTTTACAAGGAGGCTGACATTCATATCTTTATTAGCAAGTTGACTCAGTAGTATGTATAGGCCATCTCTTTCTTTACCAATCTCCTTCACCCTCCCATTGAAGAGATCCTGAAAAATACAAAACTGAGGGTAGAAGGTTGCAGCACAAGCTAGTTCCTTAGTCATTTTTGACACAGACATTAGATTAAATTTGAACTGAGGTAAATGGAAAACATTGCTAAGTGTACTTCTAGCAGATATTGAACTAGTTCCAGTATGTGTAACATTTGAAATTTCACCATTAGGAAGACACACTCTCTTCGGATTAGTATTTTCAACTATAGATTCTTGATTTAACATGTTAATATCTGACACCATATGATTAGTTGCACCAGTATCAATAATCCATTCTTTTGGACAATTTGAAACTAACAAAGTTATACTCATACCTGCTACATTTGCTGAACAATTATTGTTGTTGCCTTTTAGGTTAGTTTTGTTTAGGATTTGTAATATCTGCTCATATTGGTCTTTTGTGAATGCTCCTATCTGAGGCAGTGAATTATCAATGATTTGACCATTTGTCATCTGAGATTCCTGCTGATAACTCACATTAGGCTGGTGTTGAGGAATTTCTGCTAGAGCATTATAAGCTGCTGGACATGCTCTTGTTCCATTGTTATATGATCCTGGCCCTTTCCTTTTAGATTTGAAATCTGGAGGATAGCCAACTATCTTGAAGCAATTTTCTTTACTATGACCTCTAATTTTGCAGAAATCACACTGAATATTATAATTCTTTTTATATCTTTGATTTCCCATATTTTTTGTATACATTGCAACATCATAACTCTCAGTACTAATTGCTGGATTTGCACCTAAAATTCCAGAAGTAGCAGCCACTGTCTTTTGACTTTCATCACTTATAACCATTGAGTATGCTTGATTTACTGTTGGTAAAGGTCGTCTCATAAGAATTTGACCTCTTGCTTGAGAGTAAGACTCGTTGAGACCCATAAGAAATTGATATACCTTTAGTTTTTGTAGATAAACTACAAAATCCCTAGACCTTGGACAATCACAACCAGGGACTGGAATTAATGCCTCAAACTCCTCCCACATGTCCTTCAGTTTTGAATAATACACAGATACGGATGAAGTGCCTTGAGTAAGAGTGGCAATTTCTTTGTGCAAGTTAAAAGTTCTTGCATCATCTACTTTATAGAATCGTTCATATAGATCATCCCAGACTGTCTGAGCATTAGATGCATACATTATACCACCAAGAAGACTACTATTCACAGAATTCATGATCCAAGAAAGTACAATAGCATTTACTCTCTCCCAATGGTTCCACATAGTAACAGGAAAACTTTCTTTCCTACAAGATCCATCCACCAATCCAAATTTGTTCCTTCCTAGCAATGCTACTCGCATAGAACGATACCAAACAGAGTAATTTTCAATTCCAGTCAGCTGGAATGAAATAATTTGTATTCCACTGACATCTGAAGGGTGAAGAAACAAAGGATGATTATAATCAATACCTATTTGTTGGGTTCCAGCTATTTGATTTTGATGAGAATTGGTTTGATTTAGCTGAGCCCCATCTGCTTGCTCATTGCTTAGACTCATTTTTTAGTTCTTGAATTTTTCGATACAATCAAGAATTGACAGAATTTAATTGAACATGCAGAAATTTGAATCGAATCAAAGCTGTATATTCTTAGCTTTGACTGCTCTGATACCATGAACTTGTTTAGAGATTAATGAAAGTCACAAATCTGTAACTTGAGTGAAGAAGCTAACGCAGCAGATGAAGATAGAAGAAGAGAGAAATAGTGAGAGAGAAGAGTAGAGAGAGGAGATTAATCTTTCATTTATTCAACTTAACTTCAAATGGTAATGTACACCCATATATATATAACACCTAGATAGCTTAGTCTTGAGTAAGCCTAATTAACAAACTAACTATTCTGTTAACAGTGTAATAACCGACTAAACTAACTAACAGGGTAATTTTACATAACTGCCCTTATGAGCTTGGAATTATATTTCCTTTAACACATATCCCCCCCCTCCCCCTCCACCAGCTGTGGCAACATACCTTGTCTGCACATAAAGACTATCGCCAAGTAAAATAGACATGCAGTAAGCATTAAATAAAAATAACAACTTAGCCATAAACCAAATGAAAGGAAGGGCTTATTGTTTTCTTATGAAAAAAACCTCAACGAAGAGTGTTCAGTATATGTTATATATCTATAAAACCTAATGTAATTCTTCGTTGAAGGATGGTCAATTAAATTGACCACCCTTAAGAGAATGTAGCTTCGCCCCTGGGTGAAATGCTTTCGTTGTGCACAACTACAGAGCTAGCATATGGTGGACACGAGCTTCATTCTCTAATATGATACTCTTCACTATGAATGGAAATGCGATGAGCAAGCTGTGAATGATAGACGGGGGAAGAAGGATTGGCATTTTGATTCCTGTGAACACTAATTGTATATTACCGTCTTATCCATAGGAGAAGATTCTCTTCCTTTGCTCTCTCATTGCAGTAATCATGCAATAGGTTATGAACAAGACATGCAATAGGATTCTACACAGTGTAATTCAACAGATTCAGTACTATAAAACATCTGAATGTACATATTACAATCATCAATAAAAAATATTACAATTTCCTCTCTAATTTCGCCAATTCATCTTCTTTCTTTCTTTTCCATTGCTGATCTTCTCGAGCTTCTCAGTAAAGCTCCTGACTTAGTTGCTTAATCCTCGAGTTCTTCACAGAATTCCTGCAATTATGCTATCACTGAGCTCTAGTCTTCATAGTCTGTACAAAAAAATCCCAATGAGTTAATAGTTCAACGTAGTACTCCCTCCATCTCATTTTATATGATGGTGTTTGACTGGACCCAGGAAAAAAAAAAGACTTTTGACATATAAGCTAAAGCTATAGGACATATTAAAGGTGTAAATTTTTTTGTTTGAGGAATAATTTTATTTATAAATCATTTGCAATCACCTGCATTTGCTTTGACAACAGAATATTTATAAGGAGGGAATTACTAATTAATTGCTTACATTGAGAGAAAGTAGAAACTATAGGCTTCTAGCATATGTAGTTGAATTTTCTAAGTAGTGTAATGCCTTGTCGCGCTGATAAAGATCTCGAAACCATAATTCTGATAATCTTCAACTTGTGTTTTCCAGATATCCCTCGCTGACTCGTTAACAGATTCGTTGCACTCCTCTACCTTAATGGATTTCAGAGAAGAGATGTCTCCGAAACAAGAAGGGATCTCCTCAAGAGATTTGCATTCAAGCAAAATCAAGTGTTGAAGGTTAGGAAAGGCATCGTCCTCGACAATCCATCCTCCAATGCGGAGGTCATCTAGTTCCAAGACTTCGAGCTGAGGGAACTCGCCATTGCTCACTTTCCATTTTATAGAGCCACTCAGAGTGTATTTAAGTTTGAGTACTTTAAGGTTCTGAAGCGAAACGATAGCTGAAAAGTGACGAGGATGCAGGTGAAACTTCTCTAGTCTCAGGTTTTTGAGGTTTGGTGAAGAGATGCAAAAAGGGAGGGTATTTTCATCAATGTGAAATGACGACTTGTGACTAATCTGCAGCATTTCAAGCTGTGCTGGAAAATTCAATACATAGTATTTTTCAGTCTGCCTTTGAAAATTCTCTCTATTGTAAAAATTGATACCGTGGACTTGGCATCTCAGTTCCCGTAGGTTAGGTGTATTTCTCAAAATCATTTCCACATCCAGGACACAAGAAAAACATGGATAGGAAAGAGTTCTCAGATCATAGTTTTTGGAGTTTTCAAGAAATTCTTCTGCATTTTTTATTGTGAATTTGCACTCATAAATGTGCAAGTGTCTCAATTTAACCATCTGTAATGGGTGGTAACTTTCTTCCTCGAGCCCCTTTTAATAGAAGAGTTTCAATGATTCTACTTCCATTATTAGTATCTTGAAAACAACCTATTAGATCATCCCAAGCACTAGCTTCCCACACGTCATCAAGAAGGACGAGATATCTTTTGGAGAGTAAAACTCTACGAAGCTCATCAGCTAGTTCATGATCAGCGCAGCTTTCTCTACTTTTACAGTCTTTACCGATAACATCACGTAGAATGACCAATAACAAGTTCTTACGTGAATATTCTTGAGACACACAACATTGTGCACGAATATCAAAGTGAGAAACAACTAACCTATCAGAGTATAGTCTGTAGGCCAGAGTTAGTCTTGCCTAGACCCGGCATGCCAGAAATTGAGATAACGTCTCGCCCTCTGGTTCCTTTTATTAGTTGGCCTCTTAACTTTTCTATGACATCCTTGAAACCTACAATTTCTTCATTCATCCTTGGAGTGTTTGCCGAACTTGATGACGCATGAGACGTACTAGTCTTCTTCGCATCCCCAACCATTTTCTTTTCTTGAATCTTTGCTACGTCTGCTCTGATAACATTAATCTCCTCTATGATATCCAAGAGCCAACGCTCGAGGAACCATACAGGAGCTTCTTTGCATATACATGCATCAACTATGTACTCTACCTCATATGCTTTGCCAATCAATTGTGTAGCACAACGGTGAATTTTGTCGAGGTCATTGTCTCGCCCTTCTGTAATAGCCTTGGGAAAAGGTTGCAAGCTCTCGAGTTCCTTCTAAATTATTATAATTTGGTTCGTGACAGAAGCTAGTGAATTTGAATGGCGGCTTTGGAACTCTTTCAGGTTGTTCAAAAGGAAATCAACATAGCCTAGTCCATGAATCCTTGGCAAGTTAGATTGAAACGCCTTCCGTATGGTGGGGTATATCACTGTGTTAATGGGCTTTAACTCCATTTGCAAGAAAAGCAAAACATTGATTTCACCTAGAACAACCACAGCTAAAACATGAGTGAAGAAACTGTTCAAAAGCCGATGTCAGTACGGTTGTTGTCCGCCAACTGAGGTCCCCTCCATACGCTAGACGAGATTATCAGTGTCGTACGAAAAAACCAATGTCAAGAGCAATTGCGGAAACGAAAATGAGAATTGAGAATGACAACTTGATTGCATTGATGAAAGCTATTATAAAAGGCTATGCGGTGTCGAGGGGGAGAAACACAGGAAAAAGAGAAATGTTTGCTTGCTAGAAAGTTTGGTTGCTTGATCCCCCTAATAATGTTTAAAAAAAATAAACCAAAGTTACAAGACTAGACTACTAAGCTAGAGAAACATAATGGAAGTACATGAAATAAAACTACTCTATATTTACAATGAAAAGGACTTAGTTTTCTACAAGGCAGAAAACAGGCCCGTTGGCAGCAACTTTGTCTTTCCCATCAGGTTCTGCGCGCGCTAGTGCTGTTGGCGCGCGCGGCACTATTTGGACTCCGCCTGCGGCTGGCCGCTGGCAAGGCTTCAGGATCTGCGTGCGTGGCATTGTCTGTGCGCGCGACGCTGTTGGCATCATCATAAACTGTACGCCCGGCATTGTCTGTGCGCGCGGCGCTGTTGGCATCTGCCAGCCGCTGGGGGCTGGCGTGGGCTATCGGTGGGGCGACAGAGGCACATCCGCGTCTGTCACTTGGTGTTGCCGAGACCATGGGGCCGACCATGGCGCTGGGCGTTGGGAGGCTTGCCAGGATTCCATGGGGTGCGTCCGAAGGATCATGGGGCATGGCTGGAAAGCCGCCCATGACAGTCCTTTTGCTCCTTGTTATTGGATTAATTCCTCCCACGATAGAATAGAACAACTATTCTGTAATAGCGGTAACGGAAATTAAAGAACTTCATCAAACTCAACAAATGGCAGCAAACCACACTGTCGCTTACGATTTTGCTTTAAAAATTTATCCAATATGCACAAGAGAGAGAGTAGAGTGTTTTCACATTTTCGGTGAGTGGAAAATGAGGCCAAGCCTCGGAATTTACTTGTTTTAATTATGTTGCTACTAGTCAACTTCTAAGATAGTAAATTATAGGATATTATCTTGTCCCCTGCGTCTTCAAAGTTTCAAATCAGAAGGAATTGATAGTCCAACAGATTCACAAGGAGCATGAAAGGAGGGGGGAGGGGGTAGTATGGGACCTCTCATTTAGAAGGAACATGCAAGATTGGGAGAATGCGGAGCTCTAAGATTTGTTGGCACTGCTATATGGGCAAGACAGGCCCCAGCCATCTTGTGATTCTTGGAGATGGGGGTTGCGTGGCGACAGTTTGTTCACCGTAAAGTCCTTTTACTAGAGTATGTTGGTGAGAGAGAAGGCCACTTTTCCATACTCCTCGATCTGGATTCCTAAGGTGCCCACGAAGATGTGATTTTTTGCACGGCTAGCAGCAAGGGGAATGATCTTGACTGCTGAAAATCTGCGAAAGAGAGGAATTACACTTGTTAGTTGGTGCTACATGTGTAAAATCTCAAGGGAAGAAGTTGATCATCTTTTGTTGCATTGCCTTGTGTCCTCAGGTTTGTGGAGGGCAATCCTGAATCTTTTTGGTGTTCAATGGGTGATGCCAAGCACTGTAAAAGGAAATGTTATATAGCTGGGCCGGTTTTCGTAGAAGAAGAAAGCAAAAGGCGTGGAAGTTCACCCCGTTAGCTCTCATGTGGATAGTTTG